ATAATGTAGCTAATAGATAATGTAACTAATAGATAATGTAACTAATAGATAATGTAGCTAATAGATAATGTAACTAATAGATAATGTAACTAATAGCTAATAGATATTGTAGCTAATAGATAATAGATAATGTAGCTAATATATAATGTAACTAATAGATAATGTAACTAATGGATAATGATGTCATACTTTACCAAACAGTGTTTTTCCTTTTGCAAACTTCCTTTAACTTCTCCACTGAAGTTATTTATTTGATGTATTTACATCATTTAGTATTTATATGTACACAGAATTACAGACGACAGGTTTGTTGAATTTTATTGGTTAATAATTAACTAATAAAAGTGACTTTAAGTTGAAGTTCCAGGATGTTTGTTTAAGTCCAATTAAACATTTAACGACAACATTTAACAGCGAACATCAATAAACTAAATGCTGCAGTGGTTCCTTTTTTACTTTTTGCCCGATAATATAATATCTCTATTCAACCACAGACTGGATGCTCTGGGACCAGGAAGTGACTTCCTGTTTGATTCAATCGTTCTTTAAGTCGTTGTTAACGTCCAGAAAGAGAATAGGAAGATCATTAATGTACAGTTAGTGTACAGTGTGAGCCTGAACGCATCACCAAACATCAATGAAAATATACAGACAAACACTGAGAGCCTGAAGGCAACACTGCTGAAAGCAGGAGTGGCAGTATGTAAAGTATTATTAGTAATATCAGTGGGGGTGATGTCAGAGTATTTTATGGAGTTTTTGAGGAAGATAAATGTTCAGTTTCACCCAGTGGACACGTTTCACCTCCCTGTGGGCTCGTTTTAATTCATCTTATTTATAATTTTAATGCATAACACCATCAGAACTGATTAAATTTGAAGAAATATTATGTCTGAACATTTGCACCAATGACCCTTTATTGATTTATTGAGCTTTATTGATTTTAAAATGCAGCTCTAATGTATTAAGCATAAAAAAAACTTCAAAATAGACTCAAAAATGAATCAAGATCAGCCTTCGAGAGATAAAATAAAGCCTCCTTCGATTTAAACGAACATTTTGTATTTTGAAAATGTCAGAAATGGACTGAGCTTCTTCAATAACCCTTAAAACCTCCCTTATATTGTCCAAATCAGCCAATCAGCTGCTGTAATATTGTCTGTACAGCTGATTATTAATGCTAATTATGCTAAGGGCCATCAGTCAGTTTCTAACAGCTCGAGATCTTTAATGTATATGTCTGACATAAAACTGGATTCATGTTGGCGACAAGAAGATCAAAATGTGAAACTCCAATAAAAAGTGACGTCATGAAGTCATCGGCTGAAGATCTGCCAGGAGAGTCTACGGTTTCCCGCCCTTCGCTCAGACCTAAGATGTCTCCTGGCGTGACCTCCCAGCATGCAGCTCGCCGTCGTCACGTCATGTTTGTGTACGGACGCCAAACAAAGACGACCTCCTTCGCTGCTTCGCTCCGAGCACAAGGCTTCATTCTTCCTGTGGAGGCCAGAGAGAGTGGAGGAAGAGTGATGGAAGAGTGGAGGAAGAGTGGAGGAAGAGTGGAGGAAGAGTGAAGGAAGAGTGGAGGGAAGAGGGAGGGAGAGTGGAGGGAGGGAAGGAGAGAGGAA